AGTGTGGTAAAAAAAAAANAAGGTCATTCCAATAGTAACATCCAATAACAGTGGGGCAAAATTTCCTTATATTTATTCTGGAGAAACCGGGATTTAAGTGTTGTAGGGATGCACTTCAAGTAACGTAGTTATGCTGCTCAGGTACCAGAGATAAGGTGTAATTAGACGGTTTTTCATCAATTAAGTGGTCATATAATAGCTGGCAGGTATATAGTTTAACAGTGTCAGGAAGCTTAATAAGACCAAGGTTTACATAAATGGGGAGTAATATGATCACGAAGTGGCACATTGTTGATTATTCTAATAGCTTTGTTTTGTAGTCTCACCAATTGTGACAATGGAGCCTCGTAATTATTACCCCACAGTACGCAACCATAAGTTAAATAGGGATATATAAGTGCATAATACATACTTGAGTTTTCATTCTATAGTGGTCACAAGTGCATGATTGTACAAATGAATATGCCAAATGTTCATGGATCAACCGTGCTTTTAACTGTAAATGTTACAAATGCAAATTGAGCCAGAATTTCATCCCTTGGCTAAACTTTTTTGAAAATCTTTCAAAAATAACTAAATAACTTATTAAGCAGCATCTTACATCATCTCATTGTTCCTAATGATTTTCACTGCCACCTCTTGGTTTCCCCTTGCTTGATCTCTTGCACGTACAACATTGCCAAATACTCCTGCCCCAGTGTAACCATAAACACAGTAACGCTTGTCAAGAACTTCACTGATGCGAATTCCTACAAAAAGAATACAAACAATAACATAAATGGTGATTCCATTGCATGCTGATCATTGGTGTACCGTGTCTCCCAGATAAGGAAAAACAAAACATTACTGGACAAGTTTGATGGTGTTACACGTAGTTTAAAATGATTGTTCTTGATTTAAAATAATACCTTAAAGGTGGTCACTTTTTTGAGGCAGTATAAATTTTTCACTGAAACTAAGTCTTAATGCACATGACTGTATACACAAGCAGCCTTTTATAATCACATGTAGCCAGATGGGTGTCCAGGCATCTCATGTTGAGCACTTACAGTGTGTATAAATAATCGTTCATTTGAGCAGACCCTATAGCACCATCTAGATGCCCACTTTTCAAATCCTGGCTAAAAGCCTGCACATGATACATGCACATATACAAATATATAGAAGGTCATCTTACTGTAATATCCCTCAGCATCATCCCAGTTGTCTGTGAGGTTAGGATTCTCCTTTCCAGCCTCCACTTTTAGAGCTCTTGCAGGACTCTGAAATGAAAAAAAAAAAATACACTGTATGTAGGCACACCAAACAATATTGACAATAGAAACAATAGAAAGTGATAATCACCCTTGGAATGGTGGAGTTTCCATCTGGACTAGGTTCACTAAAAAAACATCAACTATAACATACAGTGTCTGTGTACAAATGTGTCATTATAAATGTACATGATCGAAAAATTGATGTCACGTACAAGTACATTCTACAAATATGCTAGATTCTTACTAAAAGCTTCCTCTACATGTAACTGTAATTTTTAACTAAAACCTTCCTATAAACAAATAACTACAGAAGAAACAGAAGTGCTATTTTCTGACTAAAACTCTGATATGGCCAAATTATGTGAACAGAAATATATACAGTACTTACACTATAATTGTCAGAGAACATATCATCATCAGCAAACATATCACCAACACCAGATTTTGTCTCACTATCTTGTTTAGATTCCTTTTCCTTCACAGCATCTTTAAGTTCATTCCTTGTTTGACTGTTGGCCAGTGCTATTTCTTTTTCTAAATCCTCAGTGGCTAGCTTTTCCACAGCATCACTATCTTCGCTGTCTGATCTGTCTGCCGATGGTGACTGTGACACAAGTGAGGTTGCTATCGATGGTGCATTTGATGTAGTGCCTTGGTACTTCTGCAAAATGGCTAGCCTTTGAAGTCTTCTTTTCTCAATGATTGCATCTTCATCTTCTTGCTCTTCCTCCTCCATCTCAAAATTGTACAGGTCAGCACTGAAATGTGAGAGACGTCAAAATATGACTGTTAAAGGCATAGCGTAATGAGTAATTTATCATGCTGTACATGAAAGTTACAGTATCTTCACATCAAGGGAGAGTTCAAAATACTAGTTTACGAGGAAAAAATGCTGAGGAGGACAAGATAAAAGAAAAAGATGCAAGAATTGTTGTGTATGAGACAACAATCTTGAAAAGTTTAGGTTACATCTTTCTATCATCATGTTAAGCTATCTAGAAATATCACAAGGATATTACTTAGTGAGTGACAAAAAGCCACTCCAAAAATTCCAAGTTCTTGAACCTGTGACTTTGTACACAGCAGTCAGAGTACACAAGTGCTCTGCGACAAAGCTACAGTGGAGAAGACAAGGGGAAGCCAGACTATGTCACAAACTTATGTAGGTTCAAATGTCAACCAGTGTTCAGATCATAGGTTCAACTACTGGTTGACCACTGTTTCAATCAATATTGAAAGTTGACTTGAAGGTTTGTCTGTGGGCAGCTTGAGCAATCAGTGGATAGAAACCTTGAGCTTGTAGCAAACTACTCTGTACATCTTGTACATCTATGTTAAGAATATCAAGAGAACAGCTTAAATAATGGCAACTTACTCGTGGTCTGAGTCTCCTTTATGCGCCTGTCCTTCAGAATAACTCCCCTTGTATTTATCACTATTGCGTCTTCGGCGTGGTGACCTAGACCTACTACGTCGCCTTGGAGATTTACTCCTCCTTCTCGGAGAGCGGCTACGACGCCTTGGGGATCGGCTTCTCCACTTTGGAGATTTGCTATGTCTTCGTGATCTTGAAGATGACCTTCCTTGTCTCTTTGGTGATCTGCTCCCTCTTCTACCACCTTCCTGTTTACTTTTTCTCTCCTTTGATAAATCTCTCCTTGGTGATCGACTGCCTGATCTCTTTGATCTCTCCCTTGATTTGTGTTGTTGTTTGATGTCAGACTGACCATCTTTCTTGGGTGATTTAGATCTTGAATGGGGTTTAGGCGACCTTGATTTTCTTCCACTGTCCTTTCTGTTAGTGTCAACCTTGGATGAATCTCTCTCTTGGAGCGCAGACTTATCCTTTTCAAAACTATTGCTTTTTAAATTTGAATCACGCCTAGATTTTAACTCAGTTTTACTGCTGTCATGAGAACTGCTATGTCTTCTTGATCGATGACTGTGCGAGTGATCACGAGATCTCTCATCTTTCTGTGAGTCTGTACGTGGTTTACTATTTTCTTTACTGTCTTCTTTCCTCTCTTTATCTCTAGCTGGACTTCGACTCCTTTCCTTGCGTTTTTCATGGCTATCAGACAAAGCCCTGGTGGCGTGCAACTTTCTTTCACTTCCCTGTTCATGTCTTTGTTTCTCTTTGTGTCTGTCTCTGCCATCATCATCTTTTTTATTCCTAGGGAGCCTATCATTTTCATATGCAGATTTTTCGTTTCCCTGAGCAGCCTCTGCCAGCTGTTCTTGAAGAAACGCTTTCCTTCTTTCGAGTTCTAAAAGTTCGTCTGCAATTTTAGACTTTTTCTCGGCGGGTTCGCCATTCTCAGACGCATCTTCCTTGTCCTTTCGCTTGTGCCGTTTGTGCTTGTGCTTGTGACTCTTGTGCTTGTGTTTATGCTTTTTCTTCTTTTTCTTATGATCGTGTTTACGTTCAGATGTCGTTTTTTCGTTCCCAATATGGGGCCCGTCTTCACGAGTTGAGTCACTGCTAAACTCGCGAAAAACAAGAAATGTCATTTAGAAATAAAGGCCGAGCTTTTCTTCAACGATCATTTATAATTTTACATACCTATCTGATGATTCATCTTCTTCTTCTTCTTCCCTTCTGGACTCTCTTTTCTTATCTCTTCTCAGTCCATCAACCTCGGCCGCCATATTGGTTTGCAAACGCGCAGTTTGCCATGCGTTTGCCTCGACCTGGGAATGCTAACAATTACTAAGTGGGAAGAGGACAGTAGAAGACGACGGTTATTAAGCGTTGCGTGACAGAGAGAGGCCAGAGGTTGCAGGTTGTGTACTATGGCAGACATGTCGTCCACCTTTCGACGAGTAGTATGTGTTTTTGGTTTCTAACGATGAAAATGCGTGTCGATCAAGTGCAACGCTACGATCAGCACCAAATTGACGCCGGAGATTAACACGGATTACAAACGACGAGCTTAAAAAATTTAGGATCTGCAGACCATGGCGTTACTCCTTTAAACGAACATCAAAACATGATCGGGAATCCCAAATAATAGAACAGACCTGAGAAAGACCCAGTGCAGACCACAGTTTCTGTTTTCAAAGTATGGATAGGGCTAGGGTTGATTTTGGGACCTACGAAAAAAAAAAAAGTCTAGCAAAGGCAGGGGGCACCAAAGACAGTAAACAAATTCGGCCGTGAATTTCTTTGAGTCTCACACGCGGATGGAGCAGCAGGACCGACAGCAGGAGTACGAAGTAAACCAGTGAGGAAACTGGGGCGAGAAATATCCCGGGCCAAAGTTTGTTGGCTGGTTTCACCGCCGTGGTCTGCAGAACAAGCAATTTTGCTGAGAAGACCGCTAGCGGAGAGGGCGGTGTTTACGCCGTGATCCGCGCTGCTACTCGCCTGTTTTGCAATCGAACACATCCGGTTCTGGCCAAGTTCCAGCCCTTCACGAAGAAAGAGAAGTGCTGTGTGACAAAAGAGGATCAGAACTGAAACTATGCCTGTAGGCCCTAAACACTGCTGAAACGTGTTTGGAACATCGTGACAGCCTTGAGGAACAAGAAGTTGAATCGACCTGGCTGATTAAAGAGCGTTAGGAAGTTTATCGTTCTCTTCCTGTCTGTCAGCGCCCTTTGCCGATGGAGGTGTGCAAGGTATCAGAGCCGTTGTAGAAAAGTTTGAAACTACGATAAAAATGCTGCATATGTCATGAAGGGCTACGCAAGTCAAAAGAGTGTCTAGAACAGAAGGCTCTTTAATATTTCCAGCAATATTTTTAGGTACAACTGCTTCCCTTTAGTTATGCGCAAAACTGTCTGAGACCATTATATCTTTCCAGCTAGTTAATAACAGTGTGCTTAAGTGTGGACTTGTAACAAGTCTTTGTCTCCTGGAAATCCACATCGGCGGATTGCGGTCCCGAAATTTAACAACTGTCTCGCAGCCCGCGTCCCGTAAAATTGAAAACGCGTCAAAAACTGTACAGCATGTTTGCCCTGCTTCTCAAATAAAGTGATAAGAAAACGAAGTGCCTTTGTTTTAATCACTTTTCTAATTTCTGCGCGCGATTAATAGCTCGGCTAATGAAGTCCTCCTCGGCTTTCAACCTTTCCTCCTCTAGCCCTGCCAGGAGGCTCTAAACTTCAATCAGATAAATCCCCTAAGGGTAGCGAAGGGAGAGTTCAGGTTCTGTGTACTAAACCGAGGTTTCTCTGTAGTACCAGCGCTGATTCACGAGCTCGGCTAAGCATCGATTTTGGGAGGACTTGTAAAGGTATGAAGAGCGAAGTCGGTGTCAGTGGTCCCGTCTTCCAGTGTGTCGTTGTCCTGCAAGAAAAGAGGGAGAGAGAGGGAGAAAAGGAAAAAAATGCTAATTTTTAAATGCTCATCACGAGCTTTACTGATGCTCTGTTTGAAGGTCGTGACTACAACATATATATGGTGTAATTGGCAAAGCGTCAAGTCAAGATGGCTGGATATTGGTCAAAGTCTTTTGCGCTTCTATGGACCTCGACTTCCAGGCCAATATCCTGCCCGGAATCTTGGCCGAACAAGCTTGGCAGTTTATTATATGGACTTTGATGAGCCTGCCTCAGCTTCGGGAAAATTTTCGCCTTGCGGGACACAAAGTGTAATCCCCAGCGAGCAAAATAGCGCCATCTTGCCTGCTCGGGAAACCGTTTATAGCGTAGGATTTGGTTCATCTTTTTGCCCGCTCATGGAGCTAGACATATAATAACCGTTCTTAATTATTTTTCTGTCTAGAGTTAGTGTACTAGACGCAAAGAACATTTCCACGAAAAAAGCAGATTTTTTGTCGGATGTCATAAAAACAGTCTACTTACTTGACCATTTACAGTGAATCGGGACGTTCTTACTAAATCTTCATCTTTCAGACGCTTTTTTCCTCGAATCAAGAAATACAGGATTACAGCTAAAATAAAGAGCGTTATGCCAGTCGCCACACCAATGGCAATGTAATCCTTGTCATTGAGTCCTTTTTTGTTTGTTTGACCTGCAAAGAATTGGTTCAGTGTAGATAACGTTACTGGAATCAGCCTGGAGTCTTTGAGTTAGTATTTTTATAATGTAGTTTGCGTCTTTCTCAGGGCCATCCCCTTGCGTTCCGACTTTTTTCCAATCCCCTTCGGCTAATAGTTTTGTTTACGATCTCGACGAACGCAACACAAATAAAAAATAAAGGGTCTGTGGACCGGTTATACTGGGATCAAGAGCCATATTAAATTCTGGTTCTTGAATAGACTTTTTTAGATATATTAAAATTCAGCTTGGCAGTTAGGCTTAGAGGACACAAACAAAGGAAATTGAATGACCGTGTTTATTCATTTCTTTTGTTTGTGTCCTCCAGGCCTCACTATCAAGCTGAATTTCAGATATATCGAGAGTGACCCATTGTAAAGATATATAACGTGTCGTCGGATGTGCGTTAAATTATTTATCGGGCTTGTACTACTTTTTAATGTTCTTGTGCTTCTCAAACAAAGAAAAGAGATGATAGACGTCTTATTGTCAGATAATCAAAAGCTCAATTACAGTCTATTTATTTCTTTACTTACTATCTTCTATAACAAACGATTGTCGACGAGTTTTTCCTTTCTGGTTGGATGCAACACAAGTATACCTTCCTCGTCTGTCATCGGAAGTGACAGCTACAAGAAGATGGCTCTGTATGGTGGTGTCATTGCTCCAGGATATTATCACCATACCCGGACTGTCATCCCTTAATATGGTCCCATCTTTTTCCCATTCAATGAACGGTAATGGGTCACCACCTGCTGCGCATGACAAGTGTGCTATTTCATCATCTTTTGTGTGCAGAACACTTGCAGTGCTTGTTTGAATCGATGGACCTGATCAAGAAATCGAGGAAAGAAAAAAAGAAAATCTTCGAGGGGTAAAAAAATAGAAGAAATCTTGATAAATATGATTTTGCTGTGATCGGTATCTCCTGCCACAATCATAACGGAAGAACTGGAGTAAAATTATCATCCCAAAGAACATGCATGTTGCAAATACCCTCCAGAGGTTTTATATTTATACAATAATTTACATATTTATCACATTTGTATTTGTTTGCTTTTATTTTTAGAGTATACATTAAGCCGGCATGTATGTTGAGTAGGGCCGGTTAGGTCGCAATTGGGACTGCTAGTTCTGTTTCTTTTTTTTCCCGCCCCCGTCTCATTCCGTACTACTTTGAATTTACTTATTTGCCTATTTCAAGTTAGTTGTTTGTCTGAATGAATTTATTTGTCCTTGTATTTGGTGACGTATTCAATAAACTAAAACTAACTAAACAAAGTCGCCGCACGTTTCTTGACATGGGTTCCCTATTTCAGACAAATGTTGCCATGGATATTTGATATGCCCTATTCCAAACCTGGGGCCCGTTTCTCGAAGGTCCCGAAAAGTTTTCGCACCAAAACCATATGATTACAAAGCTGTTTAATTCACGTATTCTCAATATGAACGGAGGTTCCCTTCATACAGGAAGTTTCAGGCGTATACACTTCTCCGTTTTTAGATACAGATGAACTAAAAATGGCTCTACGGGCCCAAAAAGTTTCCGGGGCTTTCGAGAAACGGGCCCCTGACCCCAAAATTCGGTACCAGCTTTTAAGCTGAAACACACGTCTCTAATACATGGCTTCAAGTTTAGCCCCGGGATTCAACCAAGCTGGAATGGCTTCGATCCATTGGCGTAAATGTTTGACGAGAGGTTTTAGTGGCCTGATTCCCTCTATGACAGTATGAGACGCACGTGCAGGGAATCACGTTATTTTGGACATCTTTTGTTTTTATGAATACAGCTACCATGATACCCTAGCTGTAGGCTCTTCTCATAGAAAGAATTGGCCATTCCAAGGATCATAATCTCTTGGCCATTCCCCGATTTTTTTTTCTGAACAGAATACCCAATTTCAGGCCACAGTGCAAAACATATCCTATTTTAGACCAAACTGATCAAATCTATGCTCTGTTTCATACAAAAACGTACGGTTGAAAAAAATGGTTGAAAAATGGCTATATCCTGTAGCGCGACGCGTACAAACACGTGAAAGGGACTTTATTGACAGTTTTTCCATCTGTCGCCGCAATTTTGTCACGACTCAAGTTCCAGGAATAACTGCTTAGACTCAGTGAACGGCATCCTTTCAGTTTTAAATAAACATAGTGAACTTGTGTTGCAGCGTTTTTGTTGCGGGTAAGTGGCGTTGCACTAAGAAGAATGAAGCGCCACTTTTACAACGATTACCGCAATGAAATTGTTGCGAGACGTGCAAATGCAAATATACTTGTTTACAACCGTCCCGCAAGCGACACGTATAAATTGTGGCAGGATTCTCGAACATGTTAGCCTCAGGTAATGCAGTTCCCTGATGAAAGCTTCACATGCCGACAGGAGGCTTTTTAGACTGCCTTGTGGAGTGGCCGAAATATGTGTTCCGATCTAGATCTTATTACTCAAAATTTGTAATTAAGTCAAGCTAAAAGTCCTTTGTTATCTCAGTAAAGTTTTGTTTGTACGATTCGCGACAGATTCGAAGCGTTTGTTTTGACAAGTGTATCATACTTAGTTTCCTTTATAAATTTAGACGTAAACTGAAACGATACGATGAAGGGAAAGGTTGCAATCTTGGAAGTTGAACTTGAACCCGACAAGGAAAAATAACCAACTGACTGAGTCGCAGCGTCTTTCTCTTAAAGACGAAGTATTCTCCATTCCAATAAAAAGAAAAAAAAAAAACGTAAAGGCCTTGCTAAACGAAGGTGAACTACTATAGTCTCAACTTAAGATTTTCAACTGGCGCCCGACTAATTGTGATTCATTGGCCAAACGTCTGCATTTTTAGTATTTTCGTCTGCGGAAAAAAAAAACTGAGATGAACAGAACATGCTTCACTTCACGACAAGCAGACCGCCGGTCACGACAAAACTCTGAAATATATGTCAGTCATGCACGATCCTGCAGCCTAAAGTCCTGCTGTCATATTAGTAAATAAAGTTGATTTTCTTAACAAGTTCAAGATTACTCAGAGAATTGAATTGACTATGCGAAATTACACGTAAAAGTAGCGATAGAGATATAAAATCTTCAGGTTACGTGACCCCTCACGAGCCTAGTTTCACGTGTAGGTTTTTTCTTCAGAATGCAAGTAAGCGCTCGAAAAATTCGTTTAATTGTCACAAGGAATTTACTCGATTTTTCTGGGTTTCAAGTTGCTTTCGCAAAGCTGCATTTATCGAATTGTGGACTTCACCATCAACTGATGCATACAGCGGGGCCGATTGCAGCATAAAATTAAATGTACTTTTTTGAATTAAAGATCCCTTGAAACAACTCATCGAAACTCGCCAAACTTATCTTACCTTCCTCTTCACAACTGCTGACCACGAAAAACGTGTTAATAACAATGATCAAAGCGTAGAAAACTGTTGTCTCCATGTGCACCAAGCTGTTAGAAATCAGGCTGAGTTTAGTGGGAAGCGTTTTGATTCCTTGCGGGTCAGCAAGCTTGATGTTTCCTCGCGGGTCAACAAATCTGATATTTGCTTTGTATCCAGGGCGGAAAATGGGACGTGACACTTCGTGATGATCCCGTGTTCAAAGGGTGGTATGAACGTGACTGGGACTTTTAAAAATAATAAACTGAAAAACGTGGTACACTAATAATCTTCGTCTATCACTGAGGATAATCAAATAACCGGATTGCCGCAAGCAAAAACTGTTTTGACATTTGAACATTAAGCAAGGGCAACATCAGCTTACACTTTGATGATTGTCATGTTGTTGCTCCGTGCAATCCAAATGCAGTTACCTTTCAAAAGAAGTATTGTCATGTAAAGCGAAAGGGACCCGAGGACCCAAGCCAAGCTTTTGACAGCTGCCAAACATGTGTTCGTTTGCAAACTAAAGTAAAGGAAGGTAAATAGATCAGTTACGTGATTCAGGCAAGCTTTTTCAGTCAGGGGAAACTATATGCACAACCGTTTAATTGAGAACAAAATATTGAACGACTATCCACCTTCATTCTCCAAAACGATTGATGTTAACCCAAATCCACATATTTCGATTCCGACCCGGAGTTGCAATTCGACAATCTAATTACCGAGTTTCCGGAATCATACACGCATTTTTTTTCAGGGCTGAGAAGATTTTTTCTCACACCATCGAATGATGGTGGCGTGATTTCCTTTTGGAGTCTACCAAGGTCAAAGTCTTTATAAATACATTCCATATACAGCACAAGGTTTTATAATTAAAACTGAGTCAAGAAAAGGCGTCCATTTCAATGATTTTGAGTGACTTCGTCCGCTGCTTAAGGGTCAACAGAGTGACAACTTGGATTACCTCGGTATAATATTTATGATCATTTATAACAGCGGGAATTGAAAAAAAAAACACTCATCAGTTTCCACCCACTGAAATAATGTAGTTTACAGAGTGGAGGTTCAGTTCTGTAACAACTGACACGCGTTGCTTAACTCACAGGTAATCACTAATGAGAGGGCTGAGAGGGGACTGGCTAAGAGTGAAGTGGCCGAGATGGGAAAGGGGTTGGGGATACCGTAATGATTCGATTTAGCGCCCGGGGCGCTTATATATCCTTGGTACCTCAAGAGAAGGCGCTTATTCGAGACAGGGCGCTTATTCGGGACAGGGCGCCTATTCAGAACAGGGCGCTTATTTCTTTTTGGAGAAACAACCGAATGTTCAAAACAAAACTTTAAAACGGTATGAACCAGTCCGTTCAGCAGGTACTCTGACTTCGCTGTAATATTATAATATTAGAATGGGGGAGCTTATTACAATAGGGGCGCTTATTGGAATAGGAACACTTATTAATTAAAACACATTCGAAGAGGGGCGCTTATTCGAAAGGGGGCGCTTAGTGGAATAAGGGCGCTTATTAATAAAACACATTCGAAGGGGGGCTTATTCGAAAGGGGGCGCTTATTGGAATTAAGGAAGGCGCTAAATCGAATCGTTACGGTATCCCCTTTCTCCCCGCTTTTCATTCGCCCCATCCTCGACTAGAGAGCCTGTTCACAGGCTAAATCATTTGCTATTTAGGCTAATCTATTCAGTACTAGCGGAGAATTACTTAGGTCAATCCTGACTAATCGCTCCTATTTGTTATTATTTGGCACTATCCGCTGTTGCCCGTTCGCTATTCGCGTTTTCCAGAGACTTCTACAGTGGAACCTGTATATAACGGCCCTGTATTAAGCGGCCATCCTCTATTAAGCGGCCAGTTTTGAGTCCCGATTTTTCGTTCATACAAACGCTGTATTGGCATACTGTATTTCGAGGACTGTACTGGACTTGGAAAACGTGGACTTGGAAAACGCGGACTAGTCTTTATTTAAACAATCATCTCCCACCCAAAGGTGCGAACTAGAATAGTTGTCTTTATTTAAACGATCATCTCTCATCCAAAGAACTTCGAATACCAATCAACTTTCGGTCACGCAAAGTGTCTCGTGAGGAGCTTTTGCCTTTAACGTTGAATGGTCCTCTAAAATGGACCAAAAAGTTTGTTTAAATATGGTGCAGAAAGATCAATTGCGTCTGATTGTGAAGAAAAAATAAATTTTGAAGGTTTTACTGAAAATGGCTGCTATGGTAACCAGCCACAGCCTTGTGAGGTTTTATTTTATACTATTGACGCCAACAGTTCCTGCTCTTTTACAAGACAAGATTTGATTTTCAAGCAAGTATATCTTGAAAGTTTCTGTTTCGTTCTATGCAATACACTAAATTTTTGACAGTTAACTCTTGTTTCAGTGCTCTCTACAGGCTTTATTTGGAAATAACCTTATTTTGCACCAAACCCAGTGAACAAATTATCCAGTGTCACCTGACAGCCTTTAAAATGTTATGAATTTTTTAGTTTATTGCATCTCGACTCTGTTGGTCTTTGATTACCCCAAATTTCAGGAATTCGGCGTGAAGTCAGTTGGTCGGCAAAAGTAGACCATTGAGAAAAATGCACTTAAAGTTTCTTACATGGTGGATTAACCATTTAACAAGCCAAACATTGTGGGGGGATGCAGATTGGATCTCCGGGGGGTGTAATGGTTGTTCTATTTTGTAAAAAGTTTTCGCAGTTGTAGGAAATGTTCCTTTTCATAAGGGAAATGAATGAGCCGGTGATTGTAAATCAGGCAAAGCTTTTCCCAAGTAATGATATGGAGTTGTGAATCTCTTTACAGCTTTACTACACACTATCGTTCATATATGTTAAAACTAATCTATATTTTTGGTCATGTTCTTACTGTAAACAGCCGTTTCTATGGCCGTTACTACGAAAAAAAACTTATACCACTGTGTACTTATTTACCTAGAGGTAAATTCGGCAAGCTCGTTTCAAAATGTTTTTAACAAGTGTACAAGGGTGTTAACCTTGTATTTTTTTAAAAACGGAATTTTATATGAACATCGCCATATTTTTTGGTATGTGCCACCTTTTAAAAATACGCTTTTATATTCTGAGAAAGGAACGATTTCCTTTCAGCAACAATTTCAACAGCTCTCCGCTTTTCCAGCTATAATTATCGATTGGAACTCTCTGCAATTATCGATTCTTCTCTCATCCGAAGAACTTCAAACTGTTCAAATTATCCTTAACAAGAGAAACAGAAACATCTAAAATAAAAAGTCAATGGGAACATGATTATCATATGGTGTCATGATCTTACAGAGCACTGACAGTCACACTCTCTCCCTCGACACTCACGACTCTAGTAATATTTTCAGTCAGTCGTGAAATGTTAGTCGTGTTCTCGTCCTTCAACCCAAACCTCAGGGTTTTGACCTAGACTGGCTCAACAGCTAATATTTCACTCTCTTTGCTAAATTTTGGCAGAAGAAATGCAAAACCCGCCTGCATTTTACCTGAGCTTCTGTGCTGAAGCGCCTTTGTCTGCAGGAAAAGGTTTTCTGAGGCTACTGAGCAAGTGGAAAATCGAGGGGGAAGGGCTCTTCCGCAGCTTTGAACTGTCTCAAGGTTTTCGACACGTCGTGCCCCATCGCATAAAATTTCCAAGTTGCCTATCAGGTTTACACGAGCTCCGGTTCAGTACCCAATGTATTAGAGTCTGATATTCAGCGATGGAAAGCAAAGTAGGAAAAACGCAGGTTCATGTAGTGTCAGGCAATAAGAAGTATTATTTCTACCCCCACCCCCAATTGCAGGGGTACATACAAAGGATAACCCTAACCCGACCCCACTGATGCGCCGCCCATGCTTCGCGTCTGTCACTTTCTCCGGTAATTTCCCGCGTTTCTTCGGCTTTAGTTCTCAAATAATTTTTTTTTTCTTGAATGGAGAAAAAAGAATCGCTTTTTTCATAAACTACAGTCAAGAGAGGAATGCTACAGACTTCGTTTCTAAAATAATTTATTCCTTTTAATTTAGGATGATTATTTATTTTCAGCCACTCAGGCGTGAAACCACCTTAAATATAAAACAATAAAATTCACCAATGTGTATATTAAAAATAAAACCTTAGCTTCTTACTTTAATATTTTCACACCCAGGTTACAATGAACTCCATTTTTACATTCAAGTTATTTAAATGAAAGCTATCGACTTGTACTTTCCAGTTCACGCGGGTGTAAATAATTTTCTCGTTTTAAACAAGAGTACTCTTGAGAATGAAAGGCTTAATATTAGCGACACTTCGCACTGAGTCCGCTTTATTTATAATTCTTTTAATATAAAATACATTTAATTTGTTCCTCGAAGAAAAGACGCAGACGGCGCACGCGACTCGTACCCACTTATCTCTTGAGAAAACTCCCGGTGTGCTGTGAGATGGAGGCTGAGACTGGGGACGAGTCAGCACGCGCGTGTCACTTGGCCCGTGGCAAAGCACTGAGAAATATGGTTTTTAATGTGAAGGAGCTAAGTTTAAAGAAAGAAAACTTTATTGTCGATAAAAAACAGATTCTCTGAAGTATATTTTGTATAAAACGTTCGAATTCAAGTAAGACGGAACTTAAGGGAAAACCTTAGGAACGAGATTGCCGTTCTTTTGACTTGTCACGTAGTCTCTCTTTCCGATAAAAAGATTGCGTGACGAACCCAAAGAACGTCTGAGTAAGAGGAGGAGGCTACAGGGGCGCATTGTGCCCTCCCACTCGTTACAAATATAATTTACCTACACCATATGCATGTATGTGTGATAGATAATTAATACCTCCTCAAAAAATAACTGTTAAGACACATTCAATGTCATTCGACCGACAGTTGCATGTAAAGCTACTCTTTTGCACCAACTGAGAAAAAACGAAAAGGCCGATTAAACGGTTTTATAGCTATATCAAATCAAATTCAAAATTCCGAAAGGCACGGCCTTTCCTTCTTCGGGGGGCATGTGCATAGTAACACCGGTGAGGACTGGTTTCCATTGATCGCTACAGGAGAAGGGAAAAATTGAGTGATCCCTACAAACACAGGTTTCCAAAGTCTAACTCAGCGATCGTTTGCACCTGTCGCAGCGATCACTGGAGAGTGGATTCCATCTGATTGCGACGATCCCTGCACATATTTTTGAAGCTATCATTTGGAAACCGGGCGGGGGGGGGGGGTACTCAGCAAAGTTTCATACGGGGAGGCTTCGCCCCAAGGTCGAAAGCCTTGCCCTTTTATATACCATTTTGACAAAAGGTAGAAGTGTAACCCTTTCAATGGTAACCGTCCTTTCACACACCTACAATGCGCTTTTACCGACGCTAAAAAAGTCGTGCAGAAATGATAGCTACCCAACATAGGAAAATTTCTATCGTAATAGATCATTGATTCAAATGCTAATTAAAAAGGCGTCCGCAATTCGTCACTAAAATCAGTACCAAAATGCGTTATTTTGAAAGGCTTCTTTACATAACTGAAAGACAGTTTTTCCTACCCTTTCCAATACTTCAACTCATGAAAACGCTACCTTTCTAAATACTTCCAGCCGGAAAAAGGGCCTCCTCCTTGCACCTCTCGGTATTAAAGGGAGTACCCCCTCCCCCGGTTAAAAACCAGCCTTCAAGCAAGCACGTTTTTCCCTGTTGAACTCGTATAGACCTAAAAAGAGATTTATGCACCAAGCATGGGCTGGTCTTTAGTTTAACCCGGCAAGACTTATTTTACTTTCAACCTCCAACGTAAAACAAATGCGTGGTAAATTGCACGAACTCCCCCTAAGTGTTGCTTTTTCTTAGTCGATTCAAGGTACACCCATTTTCTAAAGCAAGACTGGATGTAACAAAAGTTTCCCGTGATAAAGTCTAACACGGTAATTTTGGAATAGACCAAAAGCTACCCGTTCCCCATACCCAGTAGGGAGTGTAAGAAATGTCGAGGGCGTCGCCGAAAGCAAAAATCTGAATTTATTTTACCTTCGAATTTCGGCAATTATCATGGCAGATCCAGATTATTTTAAAAGCTTGGTCAAGCTAAATATGCAATGAAAGCGTTCAATTTTGCCATGTCATGTGTCTAATGGTTGAAAAGTCACTGACAAATGGGGAGACCTTGTACATAATGAATCTTCCTTCTTGGAAGGCGAGGCTTGAAAGTCAAAATTTAAGCTTAGTAAAAAGTTTATCTCCTGTCTAAGCGATGATCCTATGAGCCTAATAGGCTAATCCCTGAAAACCCATACAATCTGTAGTTCACGAGGCGGAAGAAAAGCCTGAACCAGTGGCGGTTAAAATTGAACTGAACTTACTCTCACCCTCTTACTCTCTCTTACCCTCCCCTCCCTCTCTTAGGCCTGCCTCGTTTGTTCAGACTCTTCTTGTCTTCTACGTATACTGTCCAAAGCACATACTATGAATGTAATTCAATTGCTACCCTTCAGTCGATTAAAATGTCCTTCCTAAACACCATTATGAAACGTTATTCGTTGTAATGCAAAGTGATACATCGACATCATAAAGCATCCTCCACTCTACGTCTTCGCCAATACTCTAATATAATAACTGCAATCGCTAAAATAAGCTCAAACCGAAGTTGTAAAAGTCTTTGAATGTCTTGTTCCATTTCTACTTTCATTTGTCAGCTTGTCTAGCGAGAGGTCCGTGATTAAGGCACCATTTTCCTGAGAAAAGAAAACAAAGAAAATGTAAGAGAAACGACACCGGGAAGGAAATTATACACCATATTGAAAATCTGTAATTATCTTTGCCAAACCGCACGCTTAATACCCCGGAGAAATTTGAACACGGCGTTTTCACTTTCAAAACGCATCAAATGTTTCCCCCTCGCCATGCTACGCCGGAGGAATCTCAAATGTAACAATCACCGGGTTTGGATTTGTGTTTGAGGAAAACTCCGTCGGGGAACTCACATTATTATTGTGAAGTCATTATTTATGAAAAGCTCCGTTTTCAAAATGTTTTTCGTCCGCCTTAAAACACAAGGCAACTTTTCAAATTTCTCCGGTTTGACGAGCGTTTTCGAAAAGCTCCGTTTTCGTGACGGATTGGTGTGAACGGTAGGCCTAACCGTAGAAATAAAGCTGCGTTTTCAGATTTCTCCGGTGTAGTGTGGATGGGGCCTGTCGTCGCTCTCGTTAAAAATAATAATAGCGCCGGGAAAAGCGGAGAATGAATTAAGCGGCTGGTTTTTATTTAGGCAAATCTCTAGAATACAAAATTATTTAGTGCATACCTGGCACGAGGAACTAGACTGTGATATCGTTCTGGCTCTGTGCCGCCTCTTGGATTGTTTAATCTTGTTTGCCCCGCGCCGCAATAAAAACCCAATGGCACACACAAAGAACAACGCCAGTCCAACCGATATGCAAATTGCCGCGACATCTATGATTGAAAGTTCATCTGTTTCACCTGAAAAGATCAACAAACACGAAGAAAGTTTATTCAGTATTTATTTTATTATGTGCAAAGTTTAAACTTTTTATTACTCAATTAAAGAACACGAGCACTCGATAGTGCTCTGACCTTGCACCGTTGCTATGGCATCGTGGCGCGATCAGTTGCTGAGCAAATTTGAGACAGAAATTGTGGTGGGGAAGATACCGGAGTTCCCCATCATCTGATGCTTGTTCATCAGACTGAGTTCTCACTTCTTATAAGGCCCCATTTATATGGTCTCGGGTACCCGCGACAACCCTCCCCCCGATTTACCCTGCCCGAGGTAACGTTTAGCTTATTTCTTTGCAAAATTCAACCAACCGTTTACAAGAGGATCGCGAAACCGTCTCAGGGGGTGAGACAACTCGGACGGGCGAGTTGTCTCGCCTCGGCAGGTAAGGTAAGCCTGGCAAGCGGAACAGCTTTTCTTCACATAAACACTTTGGCTCGCCTAACAGTAACCGGGATAACTCTCGGCGTGGCGAGTGTCACGCGATGTCTAGGCTTAGGATTTAAAGTAGAAATTCGTATCAAAGAAGTGAAAATTGACTCTACAAATCCCACTTTGATCGAAGGACCCAGGGAAACTCAAACCGAGAAAGAGGGATAGTTGCACATTTGATCATTCAATAAGGGTTATGAATAATAATGTAGGGTCAACTTAAAGGACCTCTTTACACGGCCCCGGGTTGATTTTTACCCCGGGTTCTGAATCACCGTGGCGGGTAACCCTTTTGCAGTCAAATGTTTATAAGCGTTTACATGGAAACAGTAGTCAAGCCGGGTTAGCCCCCCTTGCCGGGTAACCCTTCTCGAGACTCAGGTTGACCCGGCGAGAAAGGTTGAAATTTCTTGAATTCTTACGTGTAAACAGTGGGCCATAAGCTAACACGGATTGGTACTTTCAGTAAAATGACCTTGTTGTTTCCGCTTTTGTTTTGTTTTTTTGTTTGTTTTGTTTTGTTTTTTGTTTGTTTGTTTGTTTGTTTGTTTGTTTGTTTGTTTTGGGGGGGTTGTACGTCAGGACCTCCCACCATTCCGTTATACTTTCTAGGTTTTTTGGTTGTCATCTTTCTAGCCCATGTTTTCAGTTTTTGATCGGTAGAAAGGCTGGCCCGGGTCAGGCTCGAAGC